GATGCAAATGGCCGTTGACTGCTGGTTTTGGTTTCTTTGCTGATTAGGAGTTTCCTTTTACTCTTTTAATGAAGCTTTTTTTTATGACAAAGAGGTAATACGAGGAGATGGTTTTCTTAATGCCTTGATATGTCTGTCTGTGTTGTGTTAATGGAATAATGGATAGACTGAACCAGGACGGGGTGCTGTTAAAAATTTTTTTAAAAAAATGTTGTTGATATCCCTTATTTACTGCTAAGAATTTTATGATCATTCTCCTCTGCTTCTTCATCACCCTCCTGTCTATGCAATTTAGATTACTTATTTCCTGCCATTTGTGGTTCTGAATGTGCTTTATATTTATGTTGTTTCATCATTTTCTTATTATTTTTCCAAGGCATTAGAGTTTAGAATGGGGACAGAACCATATTCTGTAACAAGAAATGGCTGGTATGAATGGGAGAGATTTGGAAGAAGTGTGTGAAAAATGTACTATTGATTTAAAGGGGATTTATATGATGCAGTTAATTTTTGGTGGGTTGAAGCCTTGAAGGGGGAAGGGTAGCATTTGATATTTGGCCTATTCAGTGTTAACAATAGCGAGTGGGGAAATATGAATGAAAAGGCACCAGCAAGTGGGGAAGGGCTTGAGGATACCCCTGCTATTTCTCCCCCTTATTTAACAAAATCTCATCACTTTGGCTTGGAAGCATTTTATGGATATTGCTGTTCTCCACTTCTACTCTATTGTCTGTCTGCTTCCAATTTGAACATTTCAGAATAACTGTGAGTTGATGTATGCAGAACTGGTAGATTCATTTTATGGATAAAACGAACCCTGGCAAGAAGGTAGCAGAGGAAGTGACACGAGAGTCACTCATTGCCATCTCTTACGCTGAACCAGACAAAGTTGTTTCTTCAAAACTCCCATCAGAGAATTTGAATGGTGAAAAGCTGGTTAATGGCGCTAACCATGATGGAACAGAAAAGTACAGATCTGAGCTAATCTCCATATCTTATACAGAATCACCTGACATTAAGGCCTCACCAGTTACAGAGCAGGATTAGTCTTGTTTCCCATTAGGGCCTAACTTCTGTTTCTTCTTTCCTCATCTCTTTTCAGAGAGGTGGGTGAGGGTTGTGGATGGCTGCCTGTAATCTTTTCTAGTTTGTGTTCACTATGGTCAGGAACTCTTCACACCTAGTGTGTTTATGTTGTAATCTGCATTGGAGATGCCTAAAGTGCATCTTTTATTCTTGATTGCTAGCTGTATGAACCTCACATAGATTTTTCTGTTTGGAATGCTTCTCTTTGCATGAATGAATATATCATCTTTCTAAATTGTTCTTTGACTTCAGTTGCAGCAGTTGCTTGCTTTTGCAAGGTTATTGTTCTTTCAGAAATGCATTATTTTGTGCTCCTTGATTCTGCAGAGGGCAAGGGCTAATGCTGGTGTTTTCAGTGTTTCTAATGATAAAGCTAAGATTGGACCTCAGCATGATCTTTAGTTGCTTTAAACATGATCTTTAGTAGCTTTAAGTTTGTTAATTTATGAATGTTACCATATCCAATGAATAATGGCATGGCATGGCATGGCATGGCATGGCCGCATTATTATGGATTGGATTTTTCTGCTTCTACCTATCATTCATCCACTTTGAAGAAGCCATAGGAAAGCTCTCTCTGCTGCAATCACAACATTCCCTGCCGGTAAGATCTCACAACCTCTTCTCTCATGTTTTAGGGCTATGATTTATAAAATGAAAATGGTAGGTGTAGCAGCAGATGATGTATTTTCTGCTTTTCGGCTTCTAGTATTTGGTTTTTAGTGACCACAGAACAAAGTCAGATATGGTGGTGACTTTTTCGTCTTGCCTGTCAGTTTGGAAAAGTTTAAATATGGTTAGTAATGTGCGTAGAACTTGGCCAGAATCCTAGTTAAACCCCAAATTTATCATAAATTATCAATTAAGTTTTTAAACTTTTATGAAATCAGATAAACTATCTTTCATTTTTTTTGGTACATCTGAATGACTTACACAAGAGGGGACAGCCGTCCCCTCTCCCTAAATCCCTTTTCACCTTACTTAAAGTTCTAACTTGAGATCCTCAATTTGAAATATTAAACTCTTAACTATTAAGTTATCCTATTGAAATATCCTATTGAGATTTAGATGAACTATCTTTACTTAATATTCGTTTCTACTTTATTTGTGTAGATAAAGTTAATACTTGCCATATAAGGAATGGAACATTAATACTTTCTCTACGCAAATAAGGTATAAATGAGCATTAAATTCATTGTAAAGATAAAAGTTAAATTGCCTAGATCACTACATTTAGAGGTGTATTTACTTCAATAAAAGTTTAAGAACTTAATCAAGAATTTAGAATAAATTTGAGAGCCTAAACATAGGGTTTTTCCTAAAACTTTGAGCATTGAATTAGAATCTTTAAAATTTGAAATTATATATCTTTTTCAATTGCAGCAAGATAATGACATTGACACACACATACACTAGGACACTTGCTCCACTAGAAGTGCCCACCAATTAGTACTCCACTAGAAGACATACAGAAGAAGCATTCTTCGTGTTGGTGTTGGGCCTCCACTACATCTTTGTCACGTTGTTGCAAAACTTGAAAACAGGATACTTCTCTAAGATTTGTTGGCCCGCTTGATCTTATATACTTTATCTTGCTCTCTTATCTCACTC